CGAGTCGAGAGAGAGAGAGAGAGAGAGGGAGGGAGAGAGTTTAGTTTCGCGCGAAATATTATAACGAAGAGACGTCCAGGGAGCTGTTTCGCCCAATTTAAACCCCTCTCGAGTCTAGTGGTAAATCGTGATCAACGATTGCAACTCGTATCTCGTTCTCGTGACATTTTTCTCCCTTTTTTTTTCTCTCACTTTTCAACTAAATCCAGCCTTGCGCGCGAATCGAAGAATAAGAGTTCGCGATCGTCCATTTCGCGGAGGAGGAGGAGGAGGAGGAGGAATTTATCGAAGGCGTGTCCTCGTGGAAGGTTTTTGCCGCGTCTCGCTCCGGGCGACGGTGGACGAGAGATCGCGGAGCGTTACACGAAGGAGGACGCGGCAGGAGGAGGAGGAGGGCTGCGGCAAACGGAATGCCGTAAATCTCATGTAAATTCGGGCCGCCGCTTGATTTGCAAGCACAATGCCAGACAATTGTACGGTCTACCATCGAGCGGCCGGATGCGGAGTCTGCGAGTTTCTCTCTCCCTCTCTCCCCCTGGTTAACTTCTCCCGCACGCCCACCTCTACACACCTATCTCTCTCTCTCTATCTAAACGTTTTAACGATCGTTTTCTCCTTCTTCCTTTCCTTCGCTCGCCCTTCTCTCGCTTGCCCCGATTTTCCACCCGGTTTCATCGCGTCACGCAGCGCAGACAGAAATATACGCGCCACGCGGATAAAAGAGAGGAGAGGGTGCCACGATTTACCGCGGTCGAATCGTCCCTCGTGAAACGTTGCCGCGTTAGCGCAACGCTGGGACAGCACCGCGGTCGGTTGGAACGCGCGCCAGTAATTTCACCGCACACTCGCGACACCTGCTGCCGCTTAACGACCTCGCGCACCAAAGTTGCGCGTCCAAAGAACAGAGAGAGGAGGAGGAGGAGGAGGAGGAGGACAACGACGAACGTGTCTCGACGGATCAATCGTGGCCCGTTCTCGAAAGAAGGAAGGAGGGGAATAGTACGCGTACGCGGTTTCGTTTTCTACGATGGGGAGAAGAAAGTGGCGCGAGAAACGAACGAATTCGACTCGAGTCGACTGTTGGAAAGTTTGGAACCGCGAGGCATGCGCGGGAACGGCGCCTTCTCTCTCTCTCTCTCGAACGTCTTCGTCCGACACGTTGATTCGGGAGGAGCGGTCGCACTTAACCGGCGGCTATCGAGGTAGTGGGAACGCGCGGCGCCTTCTTCCTTCCTTTCGTTCCGTTTCGTTCCGCTCTCGAGGCGGCCCGCGTGGTCGCGCGTCCTTCCGTCCCAGTCGACGATCTCGATTCCCGCGAGCCGTGTCGTTGGCGACCCCGTCATGACGATGATTCTCGACGAACTCTCGTCCTTGGATCGCGCGCGCGCGTGAAACCTATTTCTTCGTTCCATAGCGCGAGATCTGGAAGAATTCTGGAAGAATTCGCGAAGGATATCACGAAAAAGTGTGCGTGAGTTTTTGGTGGGCGTGTGACTCTTCGAATGATCGGAGGAGAGGGGATGACGAGACTCGGGGAGAAGAGGCATCGTTGGAGCTTGCTCGTGCTGCTCGCGATCACCGTAGGTGAGTGAAATGTATTCTTTCGTATTCTCTCGTCGAGGATCAGTTAGATCCGATTCAACAGGTCCCTTCTACCTCTTCCCCTCCCCTTACATTCTCTTTTCCCGCGAATCTCGCGCAATTCGCGAACGAGTCGAGCGTTCGAGAAGGAACATGGATGGATGGATGGTTGGATGGATGGATGTATGGAACGGCGTGGTCGAGAGGACAACGGGAGGGGGAAAGGGGAGGGAGGGATTTTGGTGGAAAGCGAAAGGTGAGACGGGGGAAGAGTTGGATCGCGGCCAAAATGCAGCGTGGATAAAGTCCAGCAGAGTTTTGCGAGAAGAGGGAGGAGATGACGTGGATTATTGAGAAAAGGGGGCGGAAGTCTTCTCTCTCTTTTCGAATATATATATATTTGGTCGGCGTTGCGAATGTTGCCGCGTCAGGAATTCGCGTTTCTCGGGAATGCAAAGCGGATTTTCTTCGAGCTAGTCGGGTTTCCTCGTAACCCATATAACGCGATTTATACGGGTTACTTGTTTCGTTCTTTCGTAAAAAAATCGGTAAAAATTTAGCCTTTTTGAAAGCGTCGAAGTGATTTTTCTCTCTTTTTTTCCCTCTCTTTTACCTGTTTCAAAACGATAGTCGATGTCATCTACCAAAAAAACGGTCACGATTTTTCGTTTTTCGTCGAGGAGGCTGGATTTCGCTTCGAGGAAACAACGCGATTTATACTGCTACTTGTTTCGTTCGTTCGTAAAAATCGGTAAAAATTGGTAAAAATTCATCTCTTTTACATGAAAGCGTCCAAGTAATTCTCTCTCTCTCGCTCTCTCTCTCTCTCTTTCATCTCCTTCAAAATGACGTCACCTATCAAAAAAACAGTGACGATTCTTCGTTCTTCCTCGAAGAGGATGTATTTCGATCCTGTTCGTTCTCGTTTCGCTTCGAGGAACGACGTTGACGTGGCCGTTTGATTTTCATCTGTGCAGCCTTCTCTGCCCGATATCCTCTGTTGCCGGTGTTGGAAAGGGAAACGGAATAATTCGAAGCTACGCATTAGCCTGATTAAAAGGCTTGGAGCGTAGGGAGGGAAGGGGGTCTTGCGTTTAATGGCTTGCGTTTGCGGAGAGAGAAGCTTTCGGTAACGCACTATCGTCCGTGCGTCTCTCTCTCTCTCTCTCTCTCTTCTCCTCTTAAATTAGATTTTGCTCGATTTTTACGCGCGTCACCGCGATTTCTTCTCGCTTGGTTTTTTTCAAGTTGACCGAGGGGGACGAGAAAAAAAATGCGCGAGAATAATATACGCGAAACGTGACCCCGAAATGAACCTCGTCGAAATTAACGCTTTCGATCCTTCTTCTTTCTTTATTTCCAAACTCGTCAAAAACTTCGGACGCGAAGGCGAGCCGATCCAAATCCAGATGTGCGAAGGTGTGCCGCGAACGAACGAAACCACCACGAGATGGAGGTGGAAATTAAATGGAAAGAAACGAGCGGCGGAGCGTGCGCGTATTTAGACGCACGATGGACGAGGGGACGGCGGAAAACTTTGGTGGCTTGTCCACCAAAGCTCCCTCCCCTTCCTCTCCCCTCCTTCCAAGTTGGCAAAGGCGTTAGGCGGTTAAACGGTTAACCGTGGCCCCGCCAATACGGTAAGTGCTAAATTAAATTCAGCGGAACGAGAGCGCGCTTGAATCCGGACGCCGCCGCTCGAAACCAACGAAAATAAAAAGAATATATATATATATATATATATAGGGGGCGAAATGGTAGCGGAGGAAAAGGGGGTATTCCGGTTCTACGTACGAGCAAGGACAAAAGAAGGGGAAAAAACAGGCGAGAGAGAGAGAAAGAGAAAGAGAGAGACTCGGCGCCGCGCGAAAATTAGTTTTTTCCCGTTAATTGGAACGAGGGTACGCGAGGTGTTCATCCCGCGTAATTGGATTCACGTACATACGCGTGCTTCTTTCGCGATCAAAGCCGCCGGAACGACTCGTTGTCCGATTTCCGCCTCGTTTCCGCCTCGACTCGCGACCATCCCCCTTCCCTCCCGCCTTGAACCATCTCTCTCTCTCTCTCTCTCTCTCTCCGTTATCCGTGTCAGCCTTTCGCGAAACTTTCCTCTCTCTTTCTCTCCATCGGCGATTTAAGCAGCCCGATCGAAAGGTAGCACCACCGACAGCGACGGTGGTTACTCGTGTAGCGGTCGCAGGGGAGGGGGAAATAGGAAAATATGCCGCTGGCCGGCGGCCAACTCGCGGCAACTCGGCCACCGTTTCGCGAGACGCGTCTCGCCCAGCCTATTTACGGATCCCCGGATTTATCGGTTGCAACGGGGCTCTCGATCGTTGGACGAGGGTCGCTCGGCTGCGAAAAGAGCGCGGTGGTAAAAGGCAGGCGGGCAGGGAACACGCGATTCCGCAATCGCGCGCCCCCTTATCGCTCCTCGCAAAGTGAAATTATCCCTTGTCGCCGATTACGCGCTCGTGTCGCGAGAAAGAAGGAGGAGGAGGAGGAAGAGGAGGTCGGTCGACACCTTTCGAATCTTAGAATTTCGTCCGTCCGTCCCTTCCTCCCCTTCGTCCTCGTTCCATTTCCCTTCGGCCGTCGACGGAAGTGGAAAGTTGGGGGCGGGGGGTCTGTGTGTGACCAGGCCAGGAAGAAGGGAGAAAGAGAGAAAGAGCGTGCAAACGGGAGCCGGAAGAAGGTTTTTCGCTGCTCGTTAGCGCGTATCGATTTTCTCCTCCTCCTCCTCCACCGCCGCCACCACTCGCTGGAGAATTTTACCCGACACGCGTCCCGTGCATTACGCTAATGTCTGGTCACGGAGTTAACGCGAGAGAGGGGAGAGAGAGAGGGAACGAATCCCTTTCAGCCGGGTACATCGAGAGAGAGAGAGAGAGAGAGGAGGAGTACTTACCGTAAGGAAGGACGT